GCCTCGAATTTCTAAGTTCGATGTATTAAACGAATTGGCTTATGAATTTAGTATAATTTCTAAGATATATATTCAACAAATTGACACGAGTCGGCCTTCTTGTGAATTTGATTTAAGTATTAATTTTAGTACGACGAATAAGATTACTAGTACATTTCTAGACATAGTACTTGGTACATTTGATTTAGCGAATTTAGCGAAGCTTAGCTCCTTGTAAATTTAGTACGTTAAGCCTAATGTATTTAATCAAATTAGTAGCGCAGTACTTATGATTTGTTTTTTTTCTTTTTTTTTCTTTGTAAATTTGATACACTTAACGTAGCGAATTTAATGAAATTAATATAGCATTTACGAATTTAGTTTTTCATAAATTTATCATTAGTGTATCTAATTTGGATATTAGTAGCAACTAAAATAATATTTATCAATTTACAAATTCAGTATATTTGATTTGATAGTAATGAATTAGCAAAAAAACAATTCAACCGAACCTTCGCTAATAACCAAAGATTCGCTCCAACATGCCTCGTCGAACCTTCGTATTTTCCATCCTTTGTTTACTCAGGTGGCCGGACGACTGTTGCAACTTCGTATCGCGTCGATCACCGAGCCAACGGACAAATTTCGGTGGATCGTCGGTCGTTAACAACTTGTAAATAGCTGGTAGCTAAGCGACGGTGACAGAGTGTAACATCTGCGAGCAGACAAGGCGCGCGTTCATGGTCGGACATTAGGTTGACTTGTTCCGCTGACAAGTTTCTATAGCGGCGGCACGTTGGTCGTGCCCGATCCACTTGCAGCGAACACTTGGACGAAACTTGCTTCTTCCACTCGACCCTTCTATATTCTCTGTTCTATATCGCCGACATTTCAAACACGGACAGGGAAATCCTCTTCTACGGCGAGTCGATAACGCCCTGTTGGATTATTATCAATGGGAACGAACGGAACAGGGCCGTGGAGTAACGAAATCAGGCCAACCTTAACGTTTCGTATATATTCAAATTGAAACTAGTATCCAGGCTTTCGAAACATTGGATTCTAGCACGTAGATTCTCTTCTAGTCGAAATTCATTTTTAACGTCTTGCGACATCGAGATGGGAGCTGATTTTTTAAAGGAGATTCTTAATTGAGTCGATTTGAAACAGGTGTCTCTGGAAATTAAGTCAGAGATGTTTTATGACTTTTTTTTTTTCTTAAGAAATTATCGTTCTTGCAGTAAGTTGTAATAAAATAATTTAATTGAGATGTACCTTGTTAAGTGCAACTCTTTCCCGTTTATATTTATATTTGAATTATTACTAATTAAAAAATTAAGCCTTTCAATCCCAATCAAAGCATCCTTCCTTGACGATAAATTATAGTAATTTAAAAAAAAAATGATTTTATAAAAACCACACAATTCAAAACAACACAACTGTCAAAGAAGAAATACTATAAATCCAATATCAAAATTAAACCTCTTAATCCCAATGAAAGTATTCTCCTTCCAATAAATCAAAAGAAAAACAGAAAAAGAAAAGAAAAAGATATTCAAGCCACAAGAAATACCCGAAATATAACTCGATGCGATCAAGCCATTAATATAACGCTAACACGCCGTACAAACGTAGACATCGAACAGGGTTATCAAAGGTTTCGCTGCGGAATCGTTATCAAATTTCGCGTATGCAGCGTCGCGTCGCCGTTGTTTGATTTCCAAACCCCGGCTACGTAAATGAATTAGCAAGATGCGCCTCTCTAACTCGATCCCCGCAGCTTTCCTCGGCGGTTTCGAGTCCTCGTTTCGCGGAACGTTTCCCGCTTTTCTGTCACGTTTCCGAGCCGCGGTAATTACCAACGCGGTGTAACCTATCAGCCACCCAATTCTCGATGCCGAGAATTTCCAAGGTATATGTATATATATATATATATA